GCCCCCCCCGCCCGTCACGGCGCCCAGGCTGCTTGCGTTGGTGGCACACGAGTTTGCAGAGCTCCCTGGAGGAGGGGTCCGTTGCCTGGCTTGTAACCGTGTTGCACGCACGGCAGAGACCAGACGGTGCCTTGAATCCTACCCATGCGTGCCGTCTCACCTGGCCAGGCTCCGTGCCCAGGCGGCCCTTCAGGCCGAGGGGGTCAGCCCTGCACCTCCTCGCCCCTCCCCTGCGGTCGCCCTTGCCCTGGCCGCCGCTGCCGCCGCCGCCGCTGCGTCGACCCCGTCAGAGAGAGTTGAGCCTGACCCTGGTGGGGGAGGCAGCCGCTCGCCGAGGCGGCAAGTTGACGGCCCTTCCCCCTCGGAGGCTCCGCTCAGGTCTCGCAGCAGGCTCGAAGGCACGCAATCGGCCCATGCGTTTTTCAGGCTGGATCGATCCGCTCGCGTTCGTGCTGTGGTCACCGAGCCCTCGACCCCAATCGGAGGCATGAGGGCTTCGGCCGACGAGGCCACCCCCTCAGTGCGCCCCGAGACTGGCCTTTCCGACGAGGATCGTCGGGATCGTATCGCTGCCCGTCTCCTCAGTGCTGCTGGGGGCACACCTGCTGCCACCGCCTCTGCCCACCTGCCCTCCACCCCTGTGTCCCTCTCGGGAGGTTTGCTGGAGGCCCCCCTGGAGGACCTTGGGGAAGGAGAAGGCAGGGAGGGCGTGACGACGTGCGTGGAGGTTGGGAGGGTGGGGGACGGTCCGATGCGAACGTGGGCGAGCAGCCCCACCCCGCCGACGGCGGAGCTGGCGGCGCCCCCGCCACCGACGGCGCCCCCTGCGGCGCCGAGAGCCCCGCGGGTGCGGGGCCAGGCAGCCCGCGGCCGTGCTGCCGTCGCCGCGGCCGCCGAGGAGGGAGGCGGGGGCACGGGTGGTGGGACGGGTGTCGTCCACGAGCGGGGACATGAGCTTGTTTCCGCTCCGCCGTTCACCGTCTGTCGGAGATGCGGCTGTCTTTCGGGCAAGCAGCAGGCGAGAGGGCTGCTGGTCGAGTGCACGGGACCTTTGCCTGCACCGAGCCAGTGCACCCCCCCTGCCCTCCGTGAGAGGGCTCGCCGTCGGGACAGGCTTCTTAAAGGCCTGAATCCTTACACGGGCAATGCCCTGTAGGTTTCCTGTCGTGGTGAGAGTATTTTCTCGTCCTCGACCCTGGCCTCCGAGGGGTTCGGTGGCGCCTTGCTCGGTAATCTGGGGATTGCCTGCTTTGAGTTTCTGGTCCTGCCCAGAGGCTCCTAAGCGGCCCATGTGGGCCCGTTGGCACAGGCCACGGTCAGTTGCTCTAATGCTGCTGGACGTGCGCTCTTGATGGCCCGACACACACACACATATATATATATACATATACATATACATATACATATACATACAAACATACATACATACATATATATATATATATATGTATCACACCCCCTCCCAAGATCTACCCTTTCCATGCCCTGTTCCAGTCTTCCCCTCCTCCTCCTTTCTTCCTCAAATCTCCTGCTCCTGTTCTCTTCTCTTGTCTTCGTGCGCTTCCTCTGGGTCGTGCTTCGGCTTTGTAGTGGGTTTACAATAACATTCCTTGAGGAGGAGGAGGAGGAGGAGGAGGAGGAGGAGGAGGAGGAATATGAGGATGAGGATCTACCGTCAGGAGGGAGATGATGATGATGATGATGATGATGAGGGGGGATTCTATAGCAGTTTTTGGTACTACCAAAGCACCAGCCAACCACTCCAAAGGGCGCCCTTTAGACAGCGATGGTGGCCACCCAGAAGCAGGTGACGCGCCAGAAACGTCAATGGGCCGAGGCCCTCGCACAGGGAAGGCCGTTCACGCCCAAGGGTGGCTGGCTGTTCGACCCCGCCGTCGAGGAGGCCAGGATGAAGGAGAGCCAGCAGAAAACAGGGGGACACGCCATGGAGCACAGCGCGACGAAGGAGAAGGGGAAGGAAAAGGAGAAGAAGACGGGGGACCAGGAGAAGGAGAAGAACACGGTGAACCAGAAGAAGACGGGGGACCAGGAGAAGGAGAAGAAGACGGGGGACCAGAAGAAGACGGGGGACCAGGAGAAGGAGAAGAAGACGGGGGGCCAGAAGAAGACGGAGGACCAGAAGGAGAAGAAGAGAGAGGCACCGCCTTCTTGGGACAGGGACACGGAGAAGGCGGCGAAGAAGGGGAAACTGACGGAGAACCAACCCGCGAAGGAGGGACACCAACAACGCACGGAGGACCAGGACGCCGAGAAAAAGGCAACGCAGTGGAAGGGATACGAGGCGGCGAGCTACGCGGCCAAGAAGGAGGAGAGCAACAAACGCAAGGGTGGCACGCCGCGCTCTCGGGCGAAGTCGGGCTGGCGGGCCCCGTGCCGCGACTACAACAGGGGCTGGTGCTCCTACGGCGACCGGTGCCGCTTTTACCACGGCGGCGCGTGCACTCACGACAAGAAGGAGGAGGATGCGAAGAACAAGGGTGAGCACGGGGAGGGCAAGGACAAGGGGGGCAAGGAGAAGGAGGAGGAGGAGACCAAGGACAATGAGGAGAAGGAGGAGAAGACGAAGGACAAGGAGGAGACGAAGGACAAGGGGGAGCAGGAGAGCGGCTACAACGTCCAGCTAGACGGGAGCGCGCTCCAGGAGACGGAGGATGAGCGCGCCTTCGACGAGCGCATCCGCCGGGAGGTGTTCCTGGCGGAGTGGCGGCGCGCCACCGCAAGATCGGGAAATAGCGTAGTGGCGTCGTCGGCGACGGGGGAGGTTCGCTTCTCCCCGCCGACGCCAGAGGAGGTGCTGGACGAGAAGAAAAAGTTCAGTGACCTGCAGGAGGCCTTCTTTCTCCAGCAGCGAGGCTCCACAGCGAAGGCGGCGGAGATCGCCGCCGAGCACTCCGTCGCTGTCCAGGACCTAGAGAAGGACTGGGGAGCGAGCCAAAATAGGCGGAGGAGGAGGGGGAGGGGGAGGAGGAGGAGGAGGAGGAGGAGGAGGAGGAGGAGGAGGAAGAGGAGGAGGTGGAGGAGGGGAGTATGAGGAGCAGGATGGGGGGGGAGCCTGGGGAGGAAAATGATGAAAATCTTGTGCGCAAGAGGGGTGGCGGGGGACCTTGTTGGCCCCCCTCCCTCCCCGCGGGGCCACGCACGGGGTTCCGAAGGAGGTCGCGAAGATCGAGCGCGCTGCGTCCTGGAGGGCGCAGACGTTCAGTAGCATTCGAGAGAACGCGATGTTGCGGACCTGTCTACGAGGCATGGGCGCGCCTAGTTGTCGACCCGTTGCATTTTCCATGCCCCGCGCGCCCTGGGGATAAACCATATTTTCCAGAATGGCTCAATGGTATCAAAACAACAGAAACGCCCGAGAAGAGAGTGACCCTTGCTGGGTTCTCTCGTGGGTCTCTCTTCTGGGTCCCCTTCTGGGTTCCCTCCTGGGTCCTCTTCTGGGCCCCCTCCTGGGCAAGCAAAATAATGCGTTTGATGGGTAAGAAACGCCACAGGGAATAACGACGACAAGCGCGACCAAGTCCAAACCAATTGTTGTTTGGCTTGACCTCTTGTTATAGTCTTGGGTGTGCGTTCGTCCTATCTGCGGGGCTCAAGATGTCGAACAGGTAACTTTGTCTGCGAGCAAAATCATGCGTTTGATGGGTAAGAAACGCCACAGGGAACAACGACGACAAGCGCGACCAAGTCCAAACCATTTTTGGGGGCTTGACCTCTTGTTATAGTCTTGGGTGTGCATTCGTCCTATCTGCGGGGCTCAAGATGTCGAACATGTAACTTTCTCTGCAAGCAACATAATGCGTTTGATGGGTAAGAAACGCCACAGGGAATAACGACGACAAGCGCGACCAAGTCCAAGCCAATTGGTTTTTGGCTTGACCTCTTGTTATAGTCTTGGGTGTGCGTTCGTCCTATCTGCGGGGCTCAAGATGTCCAACAGGTAACTTTCTCTGCAAGCAACATAATGCGTTTGATGGGTAAGAAACGCCACAGGGAACAACGACGACAAGCGCGACCAAGTCCAAACCAATTTTTTTTGTGGCTTGACCTCTTGTTATAGTCTTGGGTGCGCATTCGTCCTATCTGCGGGGCTCAAGATGTCGAACGTGTAACTTTCTCTGCAAGCAACATGATGCGTTTGATGGGTAAGAAACGCCACAGGGAACAACGGCGACAAGCGCGACCAAGTCCAAACCATGTTTTTTGTGGCTTGACCTCTTGTTATAGTCTTGTCTGTGCGTTCGTCCTATCTGTACGGGTGTTTTTTTGTTTTGTCAACGGAGAGACCCAGCAAGGGAACCCAAGAGAGGGACCCAGCAGGGGACCCAGCAAAGGGACCCAGCAGGAGACCCAGGAGGGGACCCAGGAGAGGGACCCAGGAGGGGGCCCAGCAGGGGACCCAGCAAGGGGACCCAGCAGGGGACCCAGGAGGGGACCCAGGAGAGGGACCCAGGAGGGGGCCCAGCAGGGGACCCAGCAAAGGGACCCAGCAGGGGATCCAGGAGGAGACCCAGCAAGGGACCCAGCAAGGGACCCAGCAGGGGACCCAGCAAGGGAACCCAGGAGAGGGGCCCAGGAGGGGACCCAGGTGAGGGACCCAGGAGGGGACCCAGCAGGGGACCCAGCAAAGGGACCCAGCAGGGGACCCAGGAGGGGACCCAGGAAAGGGACCCAGGAGGGGGCCCAGCAGGGGACCCAGCAAAGGGACCCAGCAGGGGACCCAGGAGGAGACCCAGCAAGGGATCCAGCAAGGGACCCAGCAGGGGACCCAGCAAGGGAACCCAGGAGAGGGACCCAGGAGGGGGCCCGGCAGGGAACCCAGCCAGGGGAGCCAGCAAAGGACCTGTCCACAGGCCCAGCAAGGAACCCGCGATGTTGTCGATTGATCATCGACACCTGACAATGTATGCCGTGGCCGTTCAGGCTCAAAGCGGTGCCGCTGTGCGCAACCATCACCTGGCTTGATCTACCCTCCGCTCGGCATGCCGATGGACGCCTTCGAGCTGTTCAATCTGACGGTTCACGCTACGCCGGCAGAAGTGAAGCTCGCGTACAAACGCTTGGCGCTGAAGCTGCATCCGGACAAGGGCGGCGACAAGAGCGCGTTCCAGGAGCTCGAGGAGGCAAACGCGACGCTCAACGACCCTGCCAAGCGCCAGGCTCATTGCGAGTCGCTTCGGCCCGTGCCCGCGGGCAGCGCGGTGCGCCTTGTCAACCTGGAAGGTCAGCCCGAGCTCAACGGGCGCGAAGGCCGCGCGCTCGAGCGGGGCGGGCTGCGGCAGGCAGTGGCGTTGCCCGACCGCGTGGTGTCGGTCAAGCGCAACAGGGTCACTGAGATCCCGCGCGGTGGCGGCGCGCGGATGTGGTCGACGCAGGGTTCTGCGTCCGCGCCCGATTCGGCGACCGCCGCGCGCGCGCCCGCGCAGCCTGGCTGGGGGTCGGGTCATGGCGGCGATTGGGAGGACGAGTCCACGGCCCAGCACGGGGGGGAGATGCGCGCCTGGCCTGGCGGCGGCATGTGGCCCTGGTGCTTGGCCTGCTCCAAGTGGGCCGACAACGGCCATCGGCAATCCAAGAACCACAAGCGGTACATGGCCTGGTGGCTGAACAGCGGCGGCGACGCAGCGGCTTCGCAGCAGGGTCCGCCGCGAGATGATCACCTGCGCGCGGTGCCGCTTCCGCCACTTCCAGTGCGTCCTTGGACAGATTTCGAGCGCGGGCAAGCGGACGCCCTCATCGCGGATCCGACCGCGGCTATGTCCATTGCCAGCGGCGGCGGGTCCATCTACGACGTGTGGAACAACGGGGATGGTGATCTATTGTGCGGCTTCAGTGATTGGGGTGTGCCTCAGCTTCTCTCGGAATCCCGCATTGTCCAGTTAGCGATGATGCGTTTCACGTCGCCGCATCTCGCTGCCCTGGGCCAAAGCGCCCAGACGAACGTGAAGTCGTGCATGGAAGATATCATTCTCACGCACGATTGGGCCGTTGCCTGGTCAGCGGGCAGATGGGGGCCGTTTTACGTGAAGACCGCTGGGGACATGCTCCAGTCACAGTGGGTGCAGCGCCATCTCCTCGACAGCCGATTTCACTTTGGATGCAACGAGTGCCAGGCTACGTGCGCGCTGTGGCAGTGGGCGCCGCGCTGTCTCATCGGCGTGGACTTGCCGTGGGGCGAGCACGCGCTCGCCGACTTCTGCGAGTGTGTGACCCTCTATCTCCCGCGCGCCCTCGCTCACCGCTACTTGTGTGTGCTAGCAAACTACCGCAAGCACGCGCGCGGCGGGCGGGGCGCGCCGCGCTGCCAGTTCGCTGCGAGCGTGCCACGCCACAAGGCTGCCGTGCCAGGGGCTCACTTTTGCAAGCGCCATCAGCATTGAAAGCTTCGCATAAGGCAGGAATGTTCTAGTACATGTTATTTTCCAGCGCCCGCGCGCTGTACGTTGGCCACGAGGCGCGTTGGCGGGCCGATGCGAGATCTCACTCGGTTGCAATGGTTTGATCGCTCACATCCTCACGACTTGTATGAAAACAAACGCAGGGATCACGTCGCAATTGTCATTGCCATCGGCATCGCCACCGTCGCGGTTCGAACCGACGCCGTTGCGTTGTTGCCAGTGCCTAGGGATAATCGGGATGATTCGTGTTCGTTCTTTTTGTAGTTCGTATTGCCAATTGCCTAGTGACCGCGGCGTTGCCGTGGCGAGTGGAACCCAATTCGCATGTTCATTCATTGTGCATGATGAGTCAAATATTCGCATCACAGAGTTCACAGAGAAAAGAGTTGAGTCCCAGCAAGGGGCCCATGAGTGGGCCCAGCAGGGGTGGGGGAGGGGGGGGGCTATGCCAAACCTGCGCACCGCACATGAATGCTCAAGCGCATCAGCGCGCCAGGGGTTCAGGTGCGCCTGCCCGTTCCTGGCCAGGGTCATCGGTCAGAGCCGCGCCATGGCGTCTGGGCGCGTCTTCCCTGCGCCTAAGCGGGACAAGGCGCGCGCTGTCCTGAAGACGGGGAAGCCCAAGCGGAAAGCCCCGAAGCACACGGGAAAGACAATGGCGAAAAAGCCGGCGCCAAGCCAGAGTGCGAGGAAGGTGCCCTGCGTACGGCACGGCAAGAGAACTTGCACGTCCAGGCCGGGGCGCGTTGGTTTCAAGAGGAACGCGTTCGACTTCATACGCGCCAGTGACCGCGAGATCGTCGACATGTTGCTCGAGGACCAGGTCTTGGAGAACTTGGAAGGCCAGACGTGCTCTTTCTGCGCGGAAGGAACCCTCGGCCCCCTGAAGGACGTCCAGGGCCGTGGACCTCGGCACCGCTGCAACCACAAGGGCTGCCAGAAGTTCTCCTTGCCCCAGAGCGGGCACGTGGTCTTCAGCAGCGGCTCTGGCACTGCCGCGGTGCCCTTGCAGGAACAGTCCGCCGTGCTCTTCGCTGTCGTGAACGACGCCCCTCTTGCCAAGATCCATGCGCTCACGGGCAGGAACCACAAGGCGATCGAGAGCATGAGCAAGTTCAATGACGCGTGCCGAAAGAGCGACGTGCAGCAGCAGGAGAAACTGATCACTTTCGGAGGAAAGGGGCGGACGTGGAAAGATGTCGAGGCTGATGAGGTCGACCTCAGGGGCGATCTACTTCCCGACCACGCGGAGCGAGCTGAGAACGAGCGGGTCCAGTGGGAGCAGTGGGGCGGTGTCATCGAAAGAGGCAACCGCAAGACATTGGTTCCGACCCGCCTCAAGCCAAGTCTCACCAAGCAGAGGGCGCCAGGCCCAGGCGCGATACGCTTGCCTGATTGGACGCCGCTCGCGCACAAGAACTTGAGCAACAGGAACGGTGTGCTCCACACGGACGGGGCAAAAACGTACCAGGTCAAGGTCGAAGGGATGCCCCACGACCACGTCGTGCACCAGAGGAGGCGGCTAATGAAGAATGGCAAGCCCGCGAAGAAGGACGGCCGCCAGGTGTGGGTGAAACCCACGCACGCTAAGAAGTTTCAACATAAACTTCCTGGCGGACGAGTCCTCAAGTGCAAGGGCGGGGCCCAGATCATCGACAGGTTCTGGCAGCACTTGCGCGGCTTCATCAAGACCAGGAAGAGTTCCGTGGGCTCGGTGTCATTGAACGCCAGAGTCCGATCGGCCCAGTGGGCGTACTGGCACGCCAACGAGGACCTGTGGCTGGAGACTGGCAATATGTTCGGCCGCTTGAGGGGGGATGGCATCGCGTAGCGGTGTTAGCTTGTAGATTGCAGGCATTGCGGCGCACGGCAGGGCGCTTATGAGTAGGCGAGGCCGTGCACACAACCAGAAACGATTGAGGGTGGGAGTACCATTGCTTCCACCGAGGGTGGAATGCTTTCTGCGTTGCGGTATGCTGGGCCAGCCTTGCGAGTGTGCCCGGGCGAAATGCGCGCACTCACACATATAGGTTTCGACTTGCTCTACGACGTCAAGACTAGCGAAAACAAGTGAATTCACTTGTGCCGTCGCCAGCCTTGCCACCTCGCAGCAATGACGACGTCCTTGGCGACATCCTTCTGCTCGTAGCTGTTTTGGTCAGTCACAGGGTTCAGCAGTTAGTGATGCGTCGCCAAGGCTGGCCAGGTTCATTGACAACGGGTGATGCGTCGTCGCAGTGCATGTTCTGTTGGCCCCAGGACAAGCTCACCGTGTGCATCTGGCCCGCTTTCATCCAATTCCAGAAGACTGGGATCCCATTCTTGGCGCCAGGTTTCGCGGGCCCGCTGTGGGTGCCGGGCGACCCCGCAGTGGGCGACATCATTGTCCGCGATTACGCATGCATCGAAGTTTTCGCGGAATGCATCCACCACGACGTCCGCGACCGCACGTGCACCGTGGCGCTCACCTCCCCCGACTACCCGCACTGGTACGACGCGACGGAGGTCGACTGGTCCACCACGTGGAGCAGGATGGAATGGATCGTGCAGCAGTCGCTCGGCCTACCCCCCCACCGCACAGCGGTCTTTAACGCGGGGCTTTCGCCCGCGCGCGCGCCCGACGATTGGTTGGCGATCGGGCAGATCTCGGCGGCGGAGATCGGTCGGCGATCTCGGCTCTAGCGATTGTCACTGATACACTACTGCTGCTGCTGCTGCCGCGACGTTGCTTCTGCCGCTGCAACTGCCGCTGCGAATGCCATTGATGCCGCGGCGGCTGCTGTTGCTATTGTCATTGCCGCCCGCACCCATATCCCCGCATCCTTGCCCGCTCTATCTCCCCCCACCCACCCGCCCCCCGCCGCCGCTGGGGCTGGCGCGACCGAGGTTGGTGGCGCGCAGCCGAACCACCGCATGCACGTGGGCCCGCTGTTCGGTCTCCGCGGCTCGCGCCGCCGCCTGCAGTGACTGAGTGAGCGGGCGGCCACTTCGGCGAGGGGGCAGCCAGCGGCCAGCGCTGCCCCTCCGTAAGTATAGCTGCATATCGATTCTACACTGCCTGCCCCGACGATGCTAACGACGGGAACCAGATCAGCAACCACAAACGCCATCTTTCAGAACACGTTGTCGGCGTCGTCATCATATTCTTTATGATCCTATTATTTCTTTCCCCGTCGTCTGCTGTCCAGGTCTGCCAATCGGCCGATCAAGGTATGTGGTCCAGGACCAGACGCAGGGGGGGGGTGGGAGGTGCGGCTCGCTCGCATGCAGTATTAGCCGTGCAGCTTGCATGTTGGTTTTAAGATTTTCGAAAGTTGCGTAGTCTGCCGACATGGAGGTCCCCCCCATCCGCAATGGTCTGATCAGGAGCAGCCGTCGCCGTCGTCGCTTCGTCGTCGTTGATTTAGCCCCCGCCCGCATGTGGCAACCCCCGCCCCCGCTTTGTCTTGCCGCCGCTAGTGATCAGGCTTCAGAGTGTCCGAACACTTTTGCACGCCCACAAGCCCTTGATATATCCTTGCTCATGGCCAACGTCCCCGCCCTTGGGATGAAGTCCCTGAAGGTGCACTTGGAGGTCGAGGGGGCGGACAGCGAGAAGATCGTGCAGGTCTTCGACAGGGTCCGCGGCCACGACTCGGCCGTCCCGGTGTACCACACGGCGACGCACCCAGAAGAAGTCCATGACGACCCCCCAGCGCTCTACACTGTAGGGGATCTTCCCATCATGCCGTCTGAAGGGTGCAAGAAGGTAAAGCATGTTTTTGCCGTTGTCTTGAACTACCAGGGGGACATCGACTTGGCCGCGGCACGGGAGGCCATGCTGGTCAACAACTACAATGGCTTGCCAGAGCCTCTGCGCCCCAGAACAGGTTGGGCAGCGTTGTACACGATGCAGGTGGTGCTAGCGCCCTCGGGCGATGGCGAGGGCACAGACATCATCAAGTACTTTCGGCTCTCGAGTCCGCAGCCGTTGGTCGATGTCGAGAGTCGCCTCCTGTGCGATGGCGAGGTATTGTGCACGCTATCCTGGGGCAAGGGAGGTGACGTCAAGACGCCGTAGAAAGTTTTGGTCCACATGATGGATCGGCTCGGTGGCACGCACTTTCGGTACCACTTACCCCCGCAGGCGAAGGGCGCAAAAGAGAAGAATAAGTGCATTCCTCAGGACGTGATTGTTTCCCATCACCAGTTTATTAAGGGCAACGCCCCGCGCGGCAACTTCGATTGCGAGCAGATGATGTGGATCGACTTCCAGCTGAACGACCCGCAGAGCCCCGTCCACAACTGGAAGGAGGGGAAGATCAAGGAGGTTCTCTCGCACATCAAGGATCAGAGCATTCAAGCGAAGAAGATCACGTATCATCCCATCTTCATCTTCGACTCGGGGGACGAGGGCGTCGAGCGCGCGAAGCGCCTCGTTCCTACTTTCAAGAGCCATTCCTGCCTCATGGTCGGCGAGCCTGGCGAGGGGAAGACGCCGTACCTGGAGACGATGGCATTCGCCATGGCCGACTACCACGCGGACAAGCAGGGCGACCGCAGTTTGGCATCGTACCGGGAGGCGCCAGACCTAGACTTCTTCAGGGCTGAGGAGGGCACGAAGAACTGCCCGTGCGTCTTCGACGATGGTGACTTATTCGAGCAGCGCCCGAAGACGCTGAAGGCTTTCTTCGCGGGAGCGGTGGGGGGCAGCCAAATTCGTTCGCGGTCAGGCGCGCTTCGCCGCGGAGAACATGTACGACGAGACGGCTGTTCCCACCGTGGACGCATGGCGCGGCGCGTGCGCATTGTCTCCAGCTGAGGCCAAGAAGAAGCGGAACCAGTACTTGTTCGACATGTTGAAGCGTACCTTTCCCAAGGACATGTCCAAGGCGAACGTCGCGGCCCTCTTGAAGCGGTCCTCCGTGGTCGTGAACACCCCCGATGACGTGTTCGAGCGCTTGGCGGGGCTGGACTCGGACGTGACGAGGGCTCCGAAGGTGGGCCACTACATCACCGCGGCGGCGGGCAATATCTTGTGCGACTACATCAAGAACGGCGCGATGCGGGACGCCGAGGAGCACCGCGCGCTCAGGGACAAGCAGCTCCGCTTCATGAAGGCGCTGCTGGACAAGGGGGCCGCGCCCGTGCCTCTCGCGGTGAAGAGGGAGCTCCTTGACGACGCCGAGGGCGGCAGTGGCGCGGCGGCCAGCGAGCCCCTCCCCAACTTGCCAAAGCGCGTCCTTTGGGCAAGGTCATTCGGGGCCATGCCGCAGGGCGAGATCGACCTCTCGACCCCGCCCGACGCGCCCCCTGGCGCTGCCGCCGGGCCGAGCTCCCAAGACATCGCCGCTGCGTTCGACGACGCGGACAGCGGCGATCAGCTCGGCGTTGGCGGCGGCATGGACGATGCTTCGGATTGAGCGGGCGGCCGCTTCGGCGGGGGGCAGCGAGCGGCCAACGCTGCCCCTGGTAATTATGAATACATATCGGTTCTACATTGCCTGTCCCGACTGGGCTAACGACAGGAACCATAGAAGCAACCACAAACGCCATCTACCAGAAAACGTCGTCGTCGTCATCCTCATCCTCTTCACGCTCCTGTTACTTCTTTCCTCATCGTCTGCTGTCCAGGTCCGCCAATCGACTGTTCAAGGTCCGCGGTCCAGGACTAGACACAGATGGGGCCCATGATTAGGTTGCCCGATCGAAAGGAGAATGATGAGGAGGAGAAGGAGGAGGAGAGGGAGGAGGGGGAGGAGGAGGAGAGAGCAGGCGCACGCAGGAGCAGGAGCAGGAATCTGCAAGGATGAGGGGTGATGATGAGGAGCTGCGTAGGCAAACCTTGTGAAAAAAAAACACTCATATTATTTATATGTTTAAAGGTTTGGGTAATGAAACCCTATGGAAACACAGATATTGTTGATATGTTTAAAGGTTTTGGTAAGGAAACCATGTGAAAACACATGTATTATTGGTATGTTTGAAGGTTTTGGCAAGGAAACCAGGCGAAAACACATATAATATTGATATGTTGTGATTTTCTGGAGGAGGAGGAGGAGGAGGAGGAGGGGGAGGGGGAGGTCCGTAGCCATTTTGGCTCAAGCTGCACCAGAACTTACAGCAGCTGGGGATAGGGGTGCCGCCAGACATAACTGTGCGATGCCGCCAAAACAGACGGATTTGCTCGCTGAAACGATCGACGTCATAGCCGGAGACCTTGGGGGTGCATTTCAAGATGAGAATGCGCTAGCAACTTTACTCACTGATGGCATCGAGGTTATTGCGCCAATGAAATCAGGTGCATGGGCAGTACCACCAGTGGCAAAGATTGTAATCCCCGATGCAGAGGCTACAGCTGCACGCACGGCCGACTTGGATTGGCAACCGTTCGTGGAGGGAACACACATCGTGACCGAGGCGAACTTCCGTGCCTATGCCTTCACAGCGCCTAAAGTCCTTCGCGCATACCGGGTCTTTCGTGCGACGTTTGCCAAGCTTGTGCACCAGTCTGGTCTTGCAGAGAACAACGCAGGAGGCAAGGTTGCTGGGCCAGCACTCGCGATTTGGGCCCGGTGGATGGCTGAATCCCTCGCGCATTTGGATCTCATGGGTGCTATCCCCTACGATAAGAACGGCTCCTACTCAGCACCAATTAATACCGGATCAGATCTACGCAATGCGGCTAACAGGGATGCCATCAAGGGTGGCTTCAAATTTGGCCTGAAATACACCATTGGAGGCTGGGTTTACGCGGCACACAATGGGTGGACTATGGACGCAGCAACAGGAGAAAAAAGGCCTAACACCGTCGGTTGTCAAGACCATGTACGAGCTCGAGGGCATAGCACCACCAGGTGATGGGGACAATGATGGCTGGAAGAAAGCAAACGACTACGCGACATGGGCCTTCAAATGTGTGTTCATGCACGCAGATCCGACCTTCGCGTACGCATTTCTGGAGTCAAAACTGGGACGTGCAGTCAAGAATGTCACTCACACGAGGGTGAATGGGGCAAGGCTCCCGGACTCGCAGCTTGGCCCTGCGCTTGCTCGTCGTGGCGCCAATGTCTGGTGTGCCGGCGCGCTCGGTCCAAAGCTGTGGCACAAGTACAGGGACCCGATGAAGAGCCGAGGACTGGCAGCCTATATGAACCCAGCAGCATTGGCAGCAGCAGACACCGCAGCCGACTCTGCATACAACAATATGAGGTTCTTCCACCAGAACCCGTCACTTTGGGGGCCACCGGCAATGGGACCAGCAGCGACGATCAAGATCGCAGATGAAGTCCAGGCTGGGGAAGCCATGGTGGCATCCGTGGGCACGTACTTGGCAATTGTCGAATCAACTAGCCGGAACAACGACATCCCGGGGCTGCGTGACATAAAGCCTGCAGGCAAGGACTTCCAAGCAGCATGTGCAGCCGTAGTGGACCAGGGATATGATTCCATCGAGGCGTCAGTCAACATGATGGTTGGTGCATCAGGTGCCACATACACCGAGACACCAGCGATGATGTTCATGAAGGCAACACGTGCTCGTGAAGCTCGGGAGATAGACCCAGCAGTGGACATAGTGGTCGCCTCGGATTCGACAAGCGGCACCTACCAACTGAAGGATGGGACAGTCATCAACGTGCTCATTCCGGCCACCTACCAGGTCACAAGGGATGCCTTTGCTACGAACAACGAGGCCGAGATCAAGAATATTCAGCAAAAGGGCCAGAAAGCGCTGGACAATTTAGTGGTCAAGGACAAGCACATCAAGAAGCGTCTTCGCGTGGTGTGATCTGTGAGAACCGAAGAACAGGCAATGGCAGTAATATTCTCAGATCACGAGCCGCGAGGAGGGGGAGGGGGAGGGCGCTCGTTTCCAGAAAACCACAAAATATCAATAATATGTGTGTGTTTCACCAGGTTTCCTCACCAAAACCTTCAAACATATCAGTACTAACTGTGTTTTCACCGGGTTTCCTTACCAAAACCTTCAAACATATCAGGAATATCTATGTTTCCATATGGTTTCCTTCAGAACGCAGCCCCTGTGCAAGGCTGGAGGGGGAGGAGGAGGAGGAGGAGGAGGAGGGGGATAAGGGGGGGGAGGAGGAGGATGATGGAGGAGGAGGAGGAGGAGGAGGAGGAGGAGGAGGAGGAGGAGGAGGGAGGAGGAGGAGGAGAGGAGGATATGAGGAGACGGAGGATGAGGAGATGTGGGGGAGTGGATAACATGTATGATCAGAACCCACCAAAGGTAGATCTTGGGGGGGGGCGACCATATATATATATATATATATATATATATATGTATGTGTGTGTGTGTGTGCGTGCGTGCGTGCGTGCGTGCGTGCGTGCGTGCGTGCGTGCGTGCGTGCGTGCGTGCGTGCGGCGTGCGTGCGTGCGTGTGTGGTGTGTGTGTGTGTGCGTGTGTGTGTGTGTGTGTGTGGTGTGTGTGTGGGGGGGGGGGGGCGCGTGGTGGGCGCGTGTGTGGGTGGGCGTGCTGTTTCTGTCGACCTGGCGGCCCCTGGTCTCCGCCCCTGGCTCTCGTTGGGATGGCCCGGCGACCGCGGGCCTGCGCGCTGCGCGCCGCGCGCCGCCTCGGCCATGGCCCCGCAGCCTCGGCCCGCGGCCCGGTCGAGCACCGAGGCCGAGCCGGCCGCGCCCGCCCACGCGGCCCCCTGCCAGGCCGAGGCGGCGGGGCGGGGCTGCGGTACCGACGCACTGCGAGCCCAGACCCTCGCCCTCCTCCTCCTCCTCCTCCTCCTCCTCCTCCTCCTCCTCCTGCTCCTGCTCTCCTCTTCCCTCTCCCCCTCCTCCTCCTCCTCCTCTCCTCCTCCTCCTCCTCTCCTCCTCCTCCCTCCTCACTCCTCCTCCTCTTCCTCCTCCTCCTCCGCCTCCTCCTCCTCCTCCTCCCTCCTCCTCCTCCTCCTACCTCCGCCTCCTCCTCCTCCTCCTCCCTCCTCCTCCTCCTCCTCCTCCTCCTACAGGCTCCCGAGACCACTCGGGTCCCCAAAAATCACGACGCGAGTTTTTCGCCATGTTCGGCCTCTGTCGCCCTCGCCGGGCTCCGGGACCGTCCAAAAGCGACTCGCGACGAAAAGCCGGTCCCTGGGGGAGGGTCCAGACTTCTGAGGGCCAGGTCCTGCAAAAATCACGACGTCGGGGGTCTGGGCCCTGCGATCCTGGCGTCGCAACTTTTTCACCACGGGCGTTTTCGCCCCGTTTCGGGCCCCGTGGGCCCTCACAGATCGATGCGGCTCGAAAAATGGCGCAGAGAGATGGGGTCCCCTGGGCTCCGGTGGTATGTTTTTTTGCGATGGTTAACTTTCTGTTGCAACGTCGGGTCTCAGGGGACCCCCCTGCCAGCCGGCAGGCGGGCGGCCGCGCTGCGCGCTGGAGCTGCCGCCAGACGCCCGCGCGGCAGACGCGGGCGCCCTCAGCAGCGCCGAACCGCATGTAGAGTCAAGGCGTTGAAGTAAGGACCACCTCTGGCTCAGGAGGGGCTCGTGTTTTCGGGCCGTGTCTCAGGTTTCTGTCGTGCAAGCTGTTTGTGGCCTAGGCCCGCCGTGGCCAGACAAAAATCCGTTCGTTCCTTCTTATGTGTTCCTTGCCTCAGCACGGTGACTGTACAGTCGAAGTCGACCCTACCAAATCAAGGTACCATTGTGTCCCGTGTTCAGCGGTCCATGCCTTCTACATTCCTATCGCAGTGCGGCCCTCGGACTAGTCTTGTGTCCTCACGCGTGTCCTCTCCAATCGAGCTCGGCTATGTCTTCCGGGAAGACGTGAGACTCGGATTTGCCACGGGCCCGTCCTGAGTTTTGACGGTTTGTTTTTTCGGTTTTTGGAGCTCGCGCCAAATCTCAGACCGAGTCTCGTCATTTTCTTGGCGGCCCCGCAAGGCCAAGCCGAGTCCCCCGAACCCGAGTCTACAGACCGCTGGCGCTCATTTGCCCCTGCCGACGCCACTGCTCTGCGGCCGCTTGCGCACCCTGTCCCGACGGGTCCAGTCGACGCTTGGGTATTGGACACCCCCGCTGGGGCTCTGCTCATTTTGAACCACGGCCTATTTTTGAGAAGTCTGTCCTGTTCACGTGTGGTGGCCTAACCTCGATGGCCCTGCTGGTCCTGCAGGCGTGTGCTTTTGCAAGTTTGGCTCCCTCTGCATCGGCTGCGTCGTTTGGAAGGGCTTCGGTAGACAGGCGCACGCTGGCGCCAGCACGCGCTCTGAGGATCATCGATGTATCCTCCAGCCGCGCCCGTGCCCTGCCATGCCCTGCCGTGCCCTGCCGTGCCCTGCCGTGCCCTGCCGTGCCCCCGCCGCCTCTGCCGCCGCCTCTGCCGCGGCCGCCGCCCGCCGCCTCTGCAGCCGCCGAGGCCGGCGTGATCCTCCTCCTCCTCCTCCTCCTCCTCCTCCTTCTCCTCCTCCCCTCCGTAGCCATTTTGGCTCAAGGCTGATGCACCGAGGGGGCTCCGCGCCTCCGTGCCAAACTGGGATAGCTCTGTCTCCCGAGCCAGTCTGAAGTGTTTTTGTGAGCTCCTGTTGGAGCATACTTCGTGAGCTCCTGCAGGAGCGGATGGTCAAGCATGGCAAGCAGGGCTTCTCCACTTGCGTGCAGTGTGGCAACTGGGCGTGGAATTGGAGGCTCAAGAAGCAGAAAGGGGTGTGCGCAGTCTGCAACACCCCTCAGCCAGGGTGGTGTACTACGACGAGCGGCACGTGGTGGGCGCCGTGGTCCTCGGGCGGTGGGTGGCATGACCACGGGCAGTCTCTGCCGTCTCTTGCCAACCTCGGGGACTACCTGTCGAAGGCTCTCGCTGGTGCAGGTCTCGATGGGGACCCAGACGCGGCGCGCCTTGCGACGGAGTTCAGCACCCTGGCGTCCCAGAAGCTCGCGGCGGCCCCTGCGCCGCCGCCCAAGCCCCAGCATGCGCTGCTCAAGGAGGCCACGGCGGACTGCTCTCGCAAGCAGGAGGCTTTGGAGAAGGCCGCGAAGAAGCTGGAGCAGTCCCGCCTCCAGCTTGAGAAGGACCAGGCCAAGTTCGACGAGGCGGCGGACGCTGTCTTGGCCGCCGATCTGCACCGTCTGGAGGTGCAGGAGGCGGCGAACCCGCCCGAGGCGGCCACCAAGCAGTCGGGCTTCGTCCTGGACCCTGGGCTGTTCGAGTGCCTCGACGAGCTGGAGGAGTCCGACAGGCAGGCGCTTGAGAATTTCCAGAAGCAGCTGGAGGAGGTCACCCAGCTGGTCGACGCCAAGCAGAAGGAGTTCCAGGACTTGCTGGAGCGCACGAGGTCGGCGCACACGGCGGCGGCGGCCAAGCGGCGCAAGCGCGGCGCCGATGGCGAGGCCGTTGCTGGCGGCGGCGCCGAAGGCGCGCCCGCGGCTGGCTCTGGCGCCGCTGCGGCGCCTGGCGCCGCTGCTGCCGCTGCTGGGCCCAGCAAGGCGAAGGTCGTGGTGCAGGAGAGCGACCAGAAGGCCATGCTGGAGCGCATCAAGAGCAGCGCCCAGGCGCAGGCGCGTGCGGCCGCTGATGGCAAGGCCGCTGGCGCTGGCAAAGGCGGCAATGCGGGCGCTGGCAAGGGCGTTGCGGCTGCTGGTGCTGGTGCAGGCCGTGTTTAGCACGGCTCGCCCCCCGTCCTGCAGGGGGGAAGCTGCAGGCGCACCTCATCCAGAGTCTGATGACGACACGTCCTTGGACATCTTTTTCGGCAACATCACGGAGTGGGGCCCGCAGGCTGCGCGTTTCTTAGCCCAGGAGCAGGAGCGCAGCATCGTGGCCCTAGTTGAGACACACAAAGGAGAGAAGGACATGCCAGACATCTGCCAGGCGATTGATAAAGACGGCTGGCGTATGGCTTACACGGACGCCCGCCCTTCGGGCAAGTCAGAGGCTGGCTTGTCTGGTGGCGAGTGGGTTCTGGCGAAGAAACATGTGGCGACGTCGAGCTTTGAGAGTGCTCGGCGTACGGCGCTCGCTGCTGGGCGCCTGGACCCTTGCCGTGGCTTCGTGCCGACGGTGATCCACACCAAGGGCGGCAACTTGATCCTGATCGCTGCCTACCTCCAGCCAGGCCTCGGCGTGAAGGGCTGGAACCATGACGTGCTTGTGGCGCTGGGGGCTTTCACGCGCGCGCTCGCGGACCCCTGGCTGGTGATGGCGGACTGGAACATCGAGCCCGCGGCCTTGCGAGGCACTGGTTGGCCTCAGAAGCTCGGTGCCGTCGCGGCGACGCCGTCCTGCCGAGCGACCTGCGACAAAGGGCCAGGGCGTATGTACGATTATGGTCTTGCCAGTGTTGGTTGTCCAGAGATGTCGCTTCGAGCTGAGTTGCGCGTGCCATGGAAGACACACTGTGGAGTGGTTGTTACTGTGAAGGCTGCCCGTTCTCAGCGATGGTATAGGCACCTGGCAGTGCCCAAGCCTCTTCCCGTTCGTGATGGACCCGCTGCAGTTGCTGATCCTGCGAGTAAGCGGTCTAAGAAGAGAGAGGAGCAGAGGCAGAGGCGCACGCAGGCGCTTCCCATCGAGTTCCAGGAGGGCTTCGACGAGCTGGAGCCGCCAGCGCCTCCGCCAGCGCCCACTGTGTCTTTCGCCATTCCTGAGGAGACTTGGTTTGAAGCTCAGACACAGGTGTATTGGGAGGGCCTCCCCCAGCTGTTTGAGGATCAGCCAGAGGGTGCCCGTGGCAAAGTTGCAGCTTTTGACCGCAGTCAGCACTTTGTCTTTGAATGGCAACCTGAGGAGCGTGCTCGGCTGGATGAGTCCTACGGCGCTTGGGTTTCTACATTGGAGCGTGCCACTTTGATTCGCGAGCAGGTCGATGCCAGTACTTGGATGCAGTTCTCAGGTCGTGCTCGTGGCCCTGCTTGCTATTGGGCCAAGGTCACTTCCTCCCCTGGGCGCGCTCACATGAAGAACGAGCAGGCCGAGTGGTGGGGTGTAGTCAGCACTTTGCTTTTTCGGCATGCGGCTCTCCGTGTGAATGGGGCTGACCCTGATCAGGCTGCTTACTGTGCACGTGAAGTACAGGCCAGGATTGGAGTCTTGCCTGCTGATAAGACGGTCGAGTACTTCGGCAAGAAGTGCACCGCTGAGGAGATTGAGTTGTGGAAAGCTATGGCTGCTGATTTGGATCGCGCCCCTGTTGGCCAGCTCACTTCCTTGGTGGACACCGCGCGCAAGTGGGCGGACTTGTCGACTTCACGGGCTTTGTTAGCTTCGCGCTCGTCCTTTGTCAAGTGGGTGAAGGAGTCCTGGTCATCTAAGCCTGGTGCTGTACATCGGCATGTGAAGCAGGCTCCGCCCTTGGAGTGGGAGGGCCGCGACGCGGCAGGTGCTATCACCACGGACAAGCAGACGATGCTCCAGACGTCTGCCTCTGAATGGAATGCGATGTGGCGAGACCCTGTCGATCAGCCTGCAGATATTTTGTATATGATGGGCCAGTGTCTGTCAGCTGCTCGAGATGACCCACTTCCTGCTATCACCATCATGGACGTGGACGCTGTGCTGCCCACGCTGCCAGCGAAGAAGGCGAAGGGCGTGGACGTGCTGAACCCCATTGATATTCAGCGACAGCCATTGGTGGCAAGGCAGTGTCTTGTGGATATTTTGAATAATATCGAGCAGGCTGGCGCCTGGCCGTCGCCCCTCAGCTCGGTCCTGGGTGCTGCGATTCCCAAGGGAGCTGGAGGCAACAGAGTGTTGGGGCTAGTCCCGACGCCGCACAAAGTATGGTCAAAGGTGCGTGCGAAACACTCAGGTGAATGGTCAGCTGCCCAATCTGCATTTTGGGATACTGCTATTGCTGGATCTTCAGCGCTCAGAGCTGCACTGATCAGAGCTGTGATGGATGAAGGCGCCAACGCCTTGTCTTTTGAGCGTGCGACGCTGTTCTTGGATCTCACCAAGTTCTACGACTCGGTGTCTCTTGTGTTGCTGATGCAGGCCGGCTTGAATATCGGATTTCCAGCAATCATCCTCTTATTGGAAGTGGGTCTTTACTCTTCTCCCAGGCTTTTGAAGAAGGGCCAGATGATATCGGACGCCGCGGACGCCCTGGTGGTTTCACGTTCGATCGTCGCTGGTTCTGGACATGGCGTTCCGCTCGCCAAAGTTATGCTTCATCAGTTGCTGGATGAGGTTCACCGTGCTTGTCCCCCGACTGGATTGTGGAGTTATATTGATGATATTGTCGGTCGGGCAGAGGGCAAAAAGCAGCAGGTGATTGATAATTTGGACGCTTCTGCTGACGCTATGGCCACTGGGCTCAAGAAGCTCAGGTTGAAGATTTCTGACAAAACGAAGCTTGTCGCCAGTTCTGATGAGATTGGTGTGGAGTTACAGCGACGACTGGTTCGCAAAGGTATCCCTGTGCAGTTTGTGCGCTCCACTGTCGACTTGGGCTCTGATGCTGCTGCAGGGCGACGGCGGATAGCGCCTCGGATGATGAAACGCCGTGCACAGGCTCGACGGCGGCAGCGAAAAGTTATGCGATTGAGGCAGCTTCCCAAGACCAGGTTCATCACCAAGAAGCTCTACAGCACTGCAGTGTTACCTGCTGCAGTCTTTGGCCATCAGATAATGGGCACCCCGCCATCTTCTCTGTTGGCTTTGAGGCGTGATGCTGCAGCGAGCGTTGCTGGGGCGAAGCGTGGCAGATGTTTGAATTCGGTATTGCAAGCTGTGTTTGGGGTTTCTGATCCTGGCATAGATTTGAGGAAGCAGATGATTAAGGAGTGGATTGCTTTGTGGCTTTCCCAGCCGATGCTCCATCCTCGCATTCGCAAGATGTGGCCGATCACACTGGCGAAGTTGCGACGTGGCGCTGCTGAGCGACAGGTGGTGAAGTGGAAGGATGTGCGCGGCCCCATCGCCGCGGTGCAGGCCACGCTCTTGCAGATTGGCTGGGGTCCGCAAAGTCCTGATGTCTGGTCGCGTCCTTTGCCAGATGGTACGACCGATGATTGGCTGTTCCCTGCTTTTGGTGATGAGCAGTTCGCTACAGCTGTTCCTTCGCATTTTGAGGATATGCTCGGCGCATTCATGGATGATTGTGTTCAGCTGCAGTGGAAGGAAGCGGCCCACCATGAGGCGGGCGAGGATCTGGCAGCAGGAGCGGACATGACGACGGTGCAGATTGAGCTGAACCGCTTGGCTGCCAAGTCCAAGTTCGACGAGTGGACCGCCGACATTGCCGTCATCTCGGGGGGCCAGTGGACTCGTGAGCGGCAGATGGCCGCAGGATATTCCTGCCCGCCGCTGTGCCCCCGATGTAAGGAGCAGCCTGAGACTTTAGCTCACCGCATTTGGCTATGCCCAGCCAATTGCGGACACGAAGATTTTTCAACAACGGATTTTTTGACCCCCCAGGCCCTCGCGGGCCTTGAGGCCCAGCCGGCCTTGTGGCTCAGGGGTGTGCCCTCGAAGGACCTCACGGTGCCTAGGTTTGTTGAGACTGCGGAAACGGCCCAGGAGGTCCTTCTGGGGGATGGCTGTATTGCCGATTTCTGCTCGGAGCCTGGAGGCCCTCCTGTGTTTATCTTCGGTGACGGATCTGGGGGCGAGTTCAGCTCTGATCCCAGGCGTAGGCGATGCGGCTCGGCTGTGGTGATGATGTGCCAGGACCCCTCGTCGCCTAATTCTTGGGTGCCTCAGTGCGGTGTAGGACAGGTTTTGTCAGGCCGTCGGCAAACGGTCCCTAGAGCAGAGCTCCAGGCCTTCTGTCTCGCGCTTGAGCACTCGCAAGGTCCGTTATGCTATATTACCGACTGCAAGAGTTTGATTTCTGATTGGCACCGTGGCCGTGCCTCCTCCCCTCGGGGCCCGAACGGGGACTTGTGGGTTCGTGCTTCTCGGGCTCTCCGCTCCCGTGGCCCTGGGGAGGTTTCGCTTTTCTGGACGCCCTCCCACACGGAGGAAAATCTGCAGTCGGTAACTTCCCCGTTTGATATTTTTATGTGCCAGGGCAACGCCAGTGCCGACGCCTATGCGGGGGTGGTGGCCCAGTGGTCTTGGGATTGGTGTGTGGTGGCCCCTCCCCCTCGGACTGACCTGTGGGATACGACGGCGGCACTGGTGCGTAGAAGGGCCAGAAGGGCGATGACGCTGGCGCTCGAGGTTGAACCTTGGGAAGGGGTCAGAGCTCCGCCAGCGCCCAAGGTCCGCAAGCCCACTAAATTCGGCCAGGCGATCCGCGATAGTGCGCACAAGTTTCGCCCGTTCGCTGGTCGCTGGCGTTGCGATGTCTGCAAGGTGATTGCCCCGAGGAGCCAGGTGCTCGCTGTCGCCTCGACCCCGTGCCGCGATCCGATCCCGTCGCTGCCGTCGGATTCGGCTGAAACGCTGGGTTTGAGCCCTGAGTTTGGAGAGGGTTTCGAGGCGATCTCGGGAGAGGTGTGGTGTGGCGCTGTGAAGCTTCACCCCAGCCACCGCCTCGCCAGGACGCGTGCGTTCGGGCTGACCTTCTGCCAGCGATGTGGTTTCACAGCCACGACAGACGGTCGGCGGCTTCAGAAAGTGCGCGCCCCCCCCCCCCCCTCTCGAAAGGGGGGCGAAAACCTCAAGCGAATTAAAAAGGGTGTTTTTCCATCTTATCGGGGCCCACCCGTGGCCTTGCGTGAGGCGGCGGCGCTGGATGCTGCTGCGCGAGCCCTCCCGCCACCCCCTCGGGATGGAACTGGGGGCGTGGGTGGTGCCGTGAGGCCAATGGAGGAGAGGCCCATGTTTGATGAGTATGTGGCCCGCTCGTCCGATCGCCCTGTCGGAGAGCTGGCCGACGTGATGACGGTCTGCGAGGACGCCCCACCCGTGGGCGAGGACGCGGCTGCTGCCTTTGCTGCCGCTGCCGCTCGCTTGCATGAGGAGAATGAGCGTGAGGAAGCCGCTGCCCAGCTCAGAGCCCAGGGTCAGGGGCAGACAGTGCTCGCTGGTGCTCGTGTGCAGGGGTTGGGCAGCGGTGGTGATGATAGCGGCGACAGCGATTGAACTGGCCACGTGTGTGGCATCGCAGCATGATCCAGCATGATCCTCCTCCTCCTCCCCAGCGCCCCTCCATCCGCCTGTCCTCGCAAGAGGCGGCGAACGAGCTGGAGGTCCCCAGGCTCCGCCCGAGGACCCCCGGAGGCCCCCCGGGCGTCGGCGCCGCGCCCCGGGATGAAAAAGCGCCCGGGGGGAAGAAAAGTCCCAACGTCGTAGGATCGCAGGGCGTCGGCCGGGCCCGGCCGCGTGCTCCGCGCCCGCCGCGCCCGCGGCGCGCGCAGGCCGAGGCCGCCGCGCCCGCGCCCGAGGGCTGCGAGTCCGCGGCCGCCGCCGGGCCCGCGGCACGCGCGGCGGGCCCTCCGCCCGTCCTCGGCGGCGGCCACCTCCGCCCCCGCCCGGCAGCCAGGCGGTGCTGCCGCTGCTGCTGATGCTGATGATGCTGCTGCTGATGCTGCTGCTGCTGCTGCTGGTGGTGATGATGATGAACATGAACATGAACATGAAGATGAAGATGATGATGATGATGATGATGATGAGGATGATGATGATGATGATGATGATGATGATGATGAAAATGATGCTGATGATGATGATGATGATGATGATGATGATGATGATGATGATGAGGATGATGATGATGATGATGATGATGGCGGCCAGGCGGTGCGCGGCGCCGCCGGCGCAGGCGCGGCGGGGGTGCGCGGCCCCTGTAGGTGTCGAGTCATGACAGGAAGCACGACGGGAGGTTTTCCCCCGTTCTCGGCCGCCGGAGGCCCAGACCGTGCCTCGGGACCGTCAAAAAGCGGCGCAGGACCTCTGGAGGTCGAGACCTTTGGAGGTCGACGTCATGAACAGAGCATGACGTCGGGGGTCTGGGTATGGGCCCGCCAAGTTACTGTTCTGAGAACTTTTTGTGGTCTGCACGGCAAAATAGTTCCAAGAGCATTTCTGGCTGATACCATCTTGTTTTAAGACGTCGGGATTATGTTCTAAGACCATTGCTTTTGTTATTGGGACATGTATGAAGTCAAACGACATGGCGTGGTAGGCTTATAGGACGGTCAGTTCCTGTTCGAGTTATGCCTTTCGTGGTAGACCTATAGACATGCTGGGACGGTCGGTTCCTGCTCGAGTCATGCCTTTCGCGCCCCAATTCGACTCGGTTGCACTCCGCCGTCGTTCGCACGCTGCTTGATCTTTCGTCGCCGCCGATCGCAAAAGTGTACGGTCGGTTCGTGTCGTGGCGACGCGGCGGCGACCCCGCCGCGGGCGTTCAAGGTTGAATGCCGTCAGTGGCCCCGAATCGGCTGCAGTATGAAAGGGTCTGGCGATCGATGGAAAGCCGTCGATCGTTCAAGCTTGCACGAGCGACGCGGTGTCAGAAACCAACGCCGAGGTCGTCACGATACGAGCCTGCCGTAGGGGCAAAACGGCTTGGGGTGGACTGGGACATGCTCGCGTCGTGAGAAATACCCCGGTGAAGCATCCCATTGCAGCAACGCTGAAGGGGCGAGTCGAAGAGTATGAGGTCGGCTACGTGGGACAGGGGTGAGAGCACGCCCATGTGCACGTCGGCGTGTGTATTTTGTGCAAGAGTTCGTGGCCGCGTAGACCAACAACGTAGCCGATATTGCGGCGAGAGTGCGATTCCTGAGTACATGGTGACAAAGTCTCAGACGAATCGTCTGCCGCACCAGCTGTCGGACTGGCTGCACGAGTGGCTGCTGGACAGGTCGTCAAGGGTTCCCCGTCCCCCTTGCGGGGCTCTACTTTGGCCCTTTTATTCTCATCCCTGGGCGAAGCGGGGCCTTTGCCAGGCCCCAGGACCGCCCGAAAACGCTCGGGATGAAAAACTTGCCTCGGGGAAGGGTTGTGACGCCCAGGGGCCCCGTATAATGATAAGATTAAGTCGTTGCATGCCGGGGGCCGACTCCTGCAGGGGGGGAACGAGGCATCGGCCCCAATCGCCTCGTTTTTCGCGCTGATCGGGCCTATGTGTGCCCGAGCCTGCCCGAGAGCGTTCGCTGATACACGAGGCATTCAAGACAGGGCCTCGCTTTCGAGGGTCGAAGGGAGTTGACATTGCATCCTGGGCGGAAGGCGGCGGAAGATCGGCAGAAAACGGCGGTCTTCGGATCGCCAGGGCCAGTGCCAGTGTGCAGGGCCGGTGCCGGTCCGCAGTGCTGGCGACTTCGGATCGCCCAGGAGGAGGACAGAGGAGAGAGGAGGGAGGAGGGAGGAGGATCAAGCAGTGGCGAAGCGTCCTGGCTCGCCTATAGCCCTACCAAAACATGTTTTAAGAACCCTTTGTGGTTTCCACGAAATGTTCTCAGAACATTTCTGGCGGAATCTGTCTTGTTTTAACACATCGGGTTTATGTTCTAAGAACATTGGGTTTGTTCTTAGAACATTTTTGGGTTCTAAGAGAATTTCGTGGTAGGACTATAGGAAGGAACTATAGGAATGCCGGGACGGTCGGTCCCTGCTCAAGAGGAGAAGGAGGAGGAGGAAGAGGAGGAGGAGGAGGAGGAGGAGGAGGAGGAGGAGGAGGAGGAGGAGGAGGAGGAGGAGGAGGAGAGGAGGAGGAGGAGGAGGAGGAGGAGGAGGAGGAGGAGGAGGAGGAGGAGGAGGAGGAGGAGGAGGAGGAGGAGGAGGAGGAGGAGGAGGAGGAGGAGGAGGAGGAGGAGGGAGGAGGAGGAGGAGGAGGAGGAGGAGGAGGCGGAGGGGGAGGAGGAGGAGGTGGAGGAGGAGGAGGAGGAGGAGGAGGAGGAGGAGGAGGAGGAGGAGGAGGAGGAGGAGGAGGAGGAGGAGGAGGAGGAGGAGGAGGAGGAGGAGAGGAGGAGGAGGAGGAGGAGGAGGGGGGTCTGGGTCGTTCGTCTCCCCGGCAGGCGCGGGCCCCCCGCGCCTGCAGGCCGTGGCGCGCCGCCGACCTGCGGCTCGGGCGGGCGCTCGGCGCTGGGCTCGCAGGGAGCGTGCGGGTGGCGACGCTGCGCGGGGGCGGGCAGGCGGCTCCGTTCGCGGTGAAGGTTCGGCATCGCTCGTCGCTCGTCGTCGTCGCTCGTCGCTCGTCGTCGTCGTCGTCGTCGTCGTCGTCGTCGTCGTCGTCGTCGTCGTCGTCGTCGTCGACAACCTCGTCGACAACCTCGTCGTCGTCGTCGTCGTCGTCGTCGTCGTCGTCGCTCGTCGTCGTCGCTCGTCGTCGTCGTCGTTGTCGTCGTCGTCGCTCGTCGCTCGTCGCTCGTCGTCGTCGTCGTCGTCGTCGTCGTCGTCGTCGTCGTCGTCGTCGTCGTCGTCGTCGTCGTCTTCGTCGGGCGTGGGCGGGGTGGCGGTGTGGGGTGACGCCCCGTGCCTTTGGAGCCTGCCCCCACCTGGCTGCGTGCCTCGTAGGGGGGTGCAGGACGGGCCAGTGCCGTCCTGTGGAGCGCGCTGGTTTGTTCAGATGTTCGTGTGGATACGATGAGATCCGACTCAGAGTCCTTTTGTTACTGTGATTGGTTTTCTCAGGCATTCAATCCCAGTCGAGAGGTACCGTTGGCAGGACTCCATGAGTTATTCATTATTTCGTCGTCGTCTTCGGGAGAGTCATGGGAGGAACAGGTACCCATACCCGTCGGTCGCGGAACATTGTACTTTTTGATGCCCCAGTCCCAATCTACTTGAGGCATCTTCCTGCTTTCAGAGTCGAGCGGCATTCCCCCTTCCCTCCTCTTCAGGGGGCGGGCGGAAGCCCAATCTACGTCCAACGCCTCCCTACTTCGTGCGTCTGCGCACTCCTTCCGACCGACGGGTGCCCCTGCCGCTACCTCTTCCTCGTGCCCCCTTTCGGGGGGATGAGCATGCACGGCGACAGCACCTCTGGAGCGTCACCGGCAAACTTTTGGAGGCATCACAACAGCGGCACACGTTGACAAACGTGGCGCACGTGCCGGCGCAGCAGCACCGGGGGGCCTCATGGGCGGCCCTCGGACTCCTGGTCAGGGCGGAGCCCGGGAGAGGTCTGGGGAGCTGCGGTGACGGTACCTGTTGGTTTCCCCAGTCACTCCAACATGCCAATATTGCAGTCGAGCCTCTGATGAAGAAGCCTTCTCCCGGAGAGCTTGGGCCAGCGCTTCTCGACCAACCTGCTGGGAAGCTGGCCCAGTTGCTCAAGCTCGTTCGCCCTCTCCAGCGTTCGCAACAGAAAATGCCCCAGGTTTATGGTCGTTCGGCGTCCCCCAAACATACTAATTCTATGTGTGCGTCGCCCCCCCTGGGGCGCGCCGAGAGACTTCATAGTATGAGATCCGTGGCGGGCTCTTTCTGGCCAGACCGCTTGGGAAGCGATGTACTCTAAGCTGGTGCTACTAGATGTTCGGGTCTGACGTACGCCTGCAAGGAGGACACATCGTACTAGTATGTCCTTGTTCGTCCCAAAGGTGATGGAGAAGGGCGAGCTGGTGCGGCGGAAGATGGCTCCTGGACAAGACATGGCACCTGAGATCTGGGCGTGGCATCGTTTTCACACCGGGCGTGTTCGCCCGGTGTCGGGCCCGGGGACCTGCTCGAAAGGTACAGAAAGATAGGATCGAGGGCTCTTGTCGTGATGCGTCACGGCGTTGCGTGTTTGTGCACCGTCGGATCTCAGGGACGGCACGTCGATGATCTGCAGGACGTGTGTTAGCCCAGTCGGCCCTGTGTGTGTGTGTGTCTACCCCGTCCTGCACCACCGACAGCACGCAGGTTGCGCCTGCCCTCATCACGCCGCCTGTGTCGCCTCGAAGGCCTTCGGTGCACACGCACACGTTGGCACTAGCACACGTTCTGAGGATCGTCATGAACAGCGGCCGAAGGCCTGAGCATGAATTGTCGGAGGTCCGCGCGGACCCCTGGCGGTGCCTCTGGCGCCGCCCCTGGCGTGCTCCGCGCGCAGGGGGTGGGGGGGGACGGGGTCCAGCGCAGATCCAGGAAGTCCGCGCGGAGCTCCGGAAGTCTACGCTCATGCCGTTTTGTCATCTTCCTTTGCAGGCTCCTCACGTGCTGAGAGAGCGGCGGATCCTCAGCGCCGTCGGGCACCCGTTCATAGTGGAGCTGGTGGCCAGCTTCCAGGACGAGACCCGGCTCTTCATGCTGATGGAGCTGGTGAGCGGCGGCGAGCTCAAGACTCGCATGGAGCAGGCAGGGAAGCTGCCGGACGCCTCCGCGAGGTTCTATGCCTCCGAGCTCACCCTGGGGCTCGGCTACCTGCACAAGGCAGCAATCGTGCACCGTGACCTGAAGCCCGAGAACGTGCTGATAGACGGATGCGGCCACCTGAAGATTGCTGACTTTGGCATGGCCAAGGTGGTCCACCATCTTACCTGGACTCTGTGTGGAACGCCACACTACCTGGCCCCTGAGTTCATCACGGGCAGGGGACATGGCAGGGCAGCAGACTGGTGGGCTCTCGGAGTTCTCACCTACGAGATGCTGGCAGGCACGCACCCCTTCACTGGCAGAAACGTCCGCCGCCTCTACCGAAAGGTGGTCGAAGAGGCCGTGGCATTCCCGGGCGATATGACGGGAGACGCCCGCAGCCTGATCGGTGGGCTGCTGACGAAGGAGCAGTCCCACCGCCTCGGAGGCTCGGCCGCGGACGCGGAGGACGTCATGGGCCACAGCTGGTTCGGCCCCGTGGACTGGGGCAGGCTGCTCCGGAAGCAGTGCGAGCCCCCCTTCGTCCCGAGGGCCAGGCCTGGTGCGGCCTCGGGCTGCGCACGGACAGCTCCCCCAGGCAGTTGCGCTGTCCGCCTCCGCAGGCCCCCCCAGAGCAGCCTGGGGCCAGCCTCGGCACCCTGGCGCCGCCTCCGGCGGCGCCCCTGTGGGGGGCGCTCCCCGCCCCAGGGCTGAGGTGTGGAGACCGCCCCGGGCTGCTCGGGGGGCCTCTTGGGGCCACCTGGGGGGGGCCTGCCTGCGCGCAGCCCGAGGCCTTCGCAGTCAGGCCTCCACGCGGCATCCGGGCGCTTGCGCGAGGGGGTGTGCCAGAGGAGAGCCCGAGGCGCGGCTGCCCCGCCTCCGAGGAGCTCGGCCTCTCAGATGGGGTCCGCGCGCGTGGGGTCGGAGAGTCGCGCGCCGCGCCGCCGATGCCCCCGCGGTGCGGCTCGCTGTGGAGCCCCGGCCTCCTCGACGCCCACGGCGCCCCGATGCCTCGCCGACGTCCTCGCGATGCATCGGCGGTGCAGCCTCAGGGAAACAGGCAGTGACATAGACGTAAAAACTCGGAGGTCCGTCGGCGTTGGACCCCCGCCCCTCTCCTCGGCGCGCGGAGCGCGCCAGGGGCGGCGCCGGAGGCGCCGCCAGGGGGGCGCCAGCGCCGATCCGAGAAGCCCGCGCGGGCCTCCGAGTTTTTACGTTTATGTCACAGCTTGTTTCCCTAATGAATTTCGGCGGCGCGGCGCGATCCTCCGACCCGAGGAGCAGCAGGCCCTCTTCCGCGACTTCGACTCGCGGGCGGGCGCGGCCCCGCTGAGCCTGCCGCGGCGCCGCGCGCCGCGGTCGTTCTGGGGCCGGGTGTGCGCCAGCATCGCCCGCCGCGGGGCGTGAGCGGCCCCGTCTGCCGTGGACTGGGGGGGCGCAGGTCGTGGGCGAAACGCACACAGCCGAGTCCGATTCGTAGGTCTCGGCCACGCGCAGGGGGGGGTAGGGTGGAGGGGGGAAGGCTTCCTGGCAGGACCCCTGCTTCTTAGAAGGCGCGGGCCTTCTGTGTAGATGTAACTCGATTGAACGTAAGAGTGGCGCTTCGCCGGAGTGACTTTTGGTGCGGGCACTGGCCTGCGCCCTTTGATTTGGCCTGCCCGCGACCCCCTAAGGCCGCGCACCAGAAGTCACGTTTGCCCAGGGTCACTCTTGCGTGTAGTCGAGAAAGGATTGGGAGCTCTGGGCCCGCGGAGTGACACAAAAACGCATCGTCGGATGCCTGGGTCCACAACCGCCGCCAAGGTGGTCGGCATTCGCGGCGGATGTGGATGCACATCCAGGAGGCGCAAGCACGGATTGAGGCGCGTGAATCAGTGGCGGGTCCCGTTCCTACACGAGCTTGACGTGCTCTTTCGCCAAGTCAGGCGGACATGGCTTCATGTTTCGCGGTTGCTCTCCCCGAGACATGGATCTGGCGCCCGCGCGCCAGATCCACGGACCCGTCATTTTCAGGGGTTGCTTGTGGCCGAATGTATGCGGGCCCTGGGGTGGCAAATTAGATCCACACGCATCCACCGCCTGCCGAGACCCCCGAAGACCGATCCCCCAGGCGGCGGTAACGGATACCTCCCTCGCAGGGAGGGCAGGGGCCGTTTTGCTATGTGTTTGCCCCCAGGGCTATCCGCTCAATGTCTGCCCCAACGTGTGTAGCATATGTTCCACTTCCATCCTTTCCTTGGATCGTTCAACCGACCCCAATCCCCATCTCACATCCCTGCACCGCAGTCGGGGATACACCCCTCGAAGCCCAAAGGAAACTGCCTACATCCCCATCTAGGGGGGACAGGCCACGCCCGTTCTCGTGGCCCTCCGTTCTCCTCTCGGCACGCCCCCTGGGCTCCCCCACCCCCAAACGCCTCGTCTGCGCACCTGCTTCTGGCCATGAGGCGGGCTCCCCCTCCACCTGAGCGACGCAGAACAGGGGGTCCGATTGTCACCACCCACCACCCCACCCCAACCCGAAGGCCTCAATTTGCCCTCCATTTCCATTGGGGGGGTGTCGGGAAACATTGAAAGCCACATGGAACCCGTACCCCCCCCAACCCGAAATTCGGGTCAAATTCGGGTCTTCGGGTTGGGTTGGGGTTGCCTGGTCGGTAGTCAGATTGCGCGGGCTTTCGCGCGCAAGCTTCCCGCGCAAGGCCGCGCGCGAGCGCCCTCTTCTCCACGCGCTGTGCCACGCTGGCGCCCTGCGCGAGCCCGCGGCGTGGCGTCGCAGTGCCTTCGCGCGTGAGGTCCGCTCGTCGTCGCGCACGTGCCTCCGGCCACGGTGCGCCCCCCCCCCCGCACCTCTCCCTGGCCCCCCCCCTCCTCCTCGTCCTCCTCCTCCTCCTCCTCGTCCTCCTCCTCCTCCTCCTCCTCCTCCTCCTCCTCCTCCTCCTCCTCCCTCTCCCCTTCTCCTCCTCCTCCTCCTCCTCCTCCTCCTCCTCCTCCTCCCCCTCCTCCTCCTCCTCCTCCTCCTCCGTCCCCTCCTCCTCCTCCTCCTCTCTCCTCCTCCCTCCTCCTCCTCCTCCTCCCTCTCCTCCTCCTCCTCCTCCTCCTCATTGCTTCTCCTTCCTCTTCCTTACCCTCCTTCCCCCCCCAGCACCTCCCCTCCCCCACCCCACCCCTCCCGCGCACCCGGCATCGGCGAGCGCCGCCGATGGCGCGGGGGCGTTCTTCGTGGGCCCCCGACGGTCATGTTTTTTCCTGACTTCGACCCCCAGAGGTCTGGCCCCCTTCCCTGGGACCGGTTTCCTCATCCCGAGTCGTTTCGTTGACGGTCCCGAGGCCTTGTAAGGGCCCCCGGAGGCCGAAGATCGTGAAAAGCTGAGTTTTAGTTCCCAACCATCCTGTGGTGTTGGGTCCTCGTTTTGAAGAGACGGTCCCCGCGTTCCTCTTCTCCTCTCCTCCTTCTCCCCCTCCTCCCCTCCCTTCTCCTTCCTCCATGCGTTTCACCCACCCAGTACAGCGCTTCGTGGCCCCATAGGGGGCTCCACCGAAGGTCCCAGTGGCACCGCCCGCATGCGTCCGCCACCACCCAGCACAGCCCTTGCTCCCTGCGTTTCACCCACCCAGTACAGCGCTTCGTGGCCCCATAGGGAGCTCCACCGAAGGTCTCAGTGGCACCACCCGCATGCGTCCGCCACCAACCAGCACAGCCCTTGCTCCCTGCGTTTCGCCCACCCAGTACAGCGCTTCGTGGCTTCATAGGGAGCGCCACCGAAGGTCCCAGTGGCACCGCCCGCATGCGTCCGCCACCACCCAGTACAGCAATTTCTCGTTTCACCCACCCAATACAGCGCTTCGTGGCCCCATAGGGAGCTCCACGGAAGGTCCCAGTGGTACCGCCCGCATACGTCCGCCACCACCCAGTACAGCCATTTCCCCTTTCGTTCCACCCACCCAGCACAGCGCTTCGTGGCCCCATAGGGAGCTCCACCGAAGGCCCCAGTGCCACCGCCCGCATGCGTCCGCCACCACCCAGCACAGCCCTTGCTCCCTGCGTTTCGCCCACCCAGTACAGCGTTTCGTGGCCCCATAAGGGGCCCCACCGAAGGTCCTCAAGGCACCGCCCGCTGGAGTCCGCCACCACCCAACACAGCCCTTGCTCCTTGCGTTTCACCCACCCAATACAGCGTTTCGTGGTCCCATAGGGAGCTCCACGGAAGGTCCCAGTGGCACCGCCCGCATGCGTCCGCCACCACCCAACACGGCCCTTGCTCCCTTCGTTTCACCCACCCAGTACAGCGCTTCGTGGCCCCATAGGGGGCGCCACCGAAGAAGATATTCACAAGTGCGGTACTCACAACTGCATATGGTTGGGCTTTTCGCTCGGGTAATTTTTCGACGCGCGAGGGTCTGGGTTCAGCGTGCGCCCGCGTGTTCTTGCCCGTGCGCTGCCGGGGTGGCGCGGCTCGTCGGAGGCTGAACATTCGTGCGAATGGGTGCGGGCTCGGGAGTCGAGCGGCGCTCTCCCGCGTGAAGCGGGCACTGCTGACGGACCGTGGGCCTGGCAGAGGAGGAGGCGAAGGAGGAGGAGGAGGAGGAGGAGGAGGAGGAGGAGGAGGAGGAGGAGGAGGAGGAGGAGTGCGGAGGAGGAGGGAAGAGGAGGGAGGAGGGATGCGGATGAGTATGCGCTGAGCTTTTAATAACTCGCGAAGTTTTGAGGACGAGGGGCAGAAGAAAGGTAATCGGCAGGCGCAGGAGGGGAGGAGGGCGAGGTCTGGCAGGTTGCCGACTGTCTTTTTGTATCAGGCGCATCGTACCCCAGCGTAGGTAAAAAGTCTTCAGTGCGAAGGCTTTGCGCGTGACCGTTTTTGCACACCTTTTAGGGAAGTGCGGCATCCAACAATCACTTGTGCAAAGCTGAGGCTGGCGAGGTAGACAGTGTGGCGCGTGCTAGGTACAAGGCCAGCGCTCCACAAGCACAGACGTTGCTGTCTACAAGCCATGGTCTCGCAACGTTGCTCCGTGTGCTGTCGTAGTGATCGACCTTCCTGGACTCGTTGTAGCGCCATCATCATGATCGTTGTCGTTATCAAGATCACGGGACACGTTTTGCTGAACATTAGAATTCTACATGCTTTCTGTCACCCCACAGACCCATCCAGAAACGATGCCCAGGCGAGTTGCCCTGATTAGGCATGTGGGGGAACATGCAGTGGAAGAAAGGCTGGGAATCCGTCATACCTCAAGAGAGGGGAGGATGGAGGAGTAACTTGAGGAGGAGGAGGAGGAGGGGGAGGAGGAGGAGGAGGAGGAGGAGGAGGAGGAGGAGGAGGAGGAGGAGAGGAGGGGGAGGGGAACAAGGGAGGAGGGAGAAAGGAGGAGAGAGGAGGAAGGGGATTAGGCGGATGGGGAAGAGGAAAAAGAGGAGGGCGAACATAAAGGCGAGATGCGTCTTTGATGCTTCTCCGAGTCTCTTCGGATGTCTCCCGGGAGCTTCTTTTAGGCCTGTTGGGGCGTCTTGGGGGCCTCGTGGCGGTCCCAGGGGCCTCTTGAAGCGTCTTTGGTGCATCGGGGGGGCCTCCTGGGGGCATCCTGGGGGCAGCTTGGGCTCGTCGTGGGGCCCTTTGCTCCTCTTGGGGCCATCTTGGGGCACTCTTGGGAGCCTCGGGGGCTTTTTCGAGGCCACCTTGGAGGTGATCGATCACAGAAGGAGGGGTACTTCATTACACCCCCTCAGGAGGTCACAATCGGACCAACACCTTCGTAAAATCAATGATGTTGGCCTTCTCGCCGAGGCCGTCTTGGACGCTCTACCCCCTCGCGGAACGCACTGTCGAGGTCCAGGGGAAGGGGGTAGGAGGAGGGGTAAACCCGGCAAGAAAGGGGGTTGGAAGAGGACTCTCAAAACCACTCACGGCCTAAGGGGCTGTTGGGATGCTGGGTCCCCCGGAGGAGCCCCTGGCGCGCGGAGGGGTCCAGCGCCGATCTAAGAAATATTCGCGGACCTCCGAATGTGTACGTTAATGTGCTATCTGGTTTCTCTACGATCGCTGTCGTCGTCATAAATCTCATCATCGCCCTGTGGCTGGAGACGTGGTGGGATAGCTGGGTCATGATCCCACTTGGTGGCTCTTTCCTGTGGACCCTGCTCTCTCTCGGAAGGCCGTGGCAGTTTGCCGCCTTTGGGCGCAAGCGAGAAGAGGGAGAACGAGGAGGAGAAGGGGAAGGATGACAAGGATAATGGAGAGACGAGAAGGGGGAGGAGGTGGTGGAGGAGGAGGGTGATGGTGCGGAGTAGGGCGAGCATGGAGAAGGAGGATGAGGAGGAAGAAGAGAAGAGGACGAGGGACGTGAAGGAGGAGGAGAAGGAGGAGGACAAGGGATGGAGGAAAATGAGACCCCCTGGGCAGCAACGT